CATCCGCCCACGCGGATTGCTAGTTTCAGTTTCAGATCCCACATGCGCGTCATTTCGCGGCCACGACGTGACGGTGGGGCCATTTAAACGCTCAAGTTCTTCCGCACCAATTAAGCCAACCGGATCAATATGCAAATAAATAGTGTTTAATTAAATTGAAATCGAGTGGGAGTGAAAGGAGTAGGATGCTTATGTTAAAATGATGAAAATTACTTACTGATTACTGGCTATAAAAAGCCAGAGACAGAGCTCCATGGCAGGCAATAAATAATCCATTATTCATATGCTAAGCAGGCTAATTACGGGAAGCTGCTGACGAGTTGGCTAATTTCATGCTCACTTTGAGCTAAAACAGTGAAGGCAGGCTGATGAATTAGGGAACTACGCCTACGCCTACCCCAGTATCCTTGCCATCCTTGCCAGCCATACTGACTTGTATGTACGTATACGTATTGTGCAATTCATTCATAAATTCCGCGTCAGCTCACAACTCATTAGGCACGATGAAGCCGAAGAAGAAGAGGGCCAGGCCAAGAAGGAGACACTGCCACCTACCAACGACCAGAGACCAGAGCCACCAACTACCAACACTTGCGAGTGTCTGGCCCGCTTTCGTTTCTTTGCCCTCTCGCTGGGCTTTCTTGATTGCATTGCATCATCCTTTGTGGCCAAAGGACTCGCTTCTGCTCTCTCTCACTCTCTCTCTCGTCCTGGGTAAATATATCATAAGCAAAATCCTTGACGCTTCATTGACTAAAAAATTCCAGCACACACACAAACACAATTACTCAGCCACATTTATTTGCCGAAGGGGTTTTTTTTTTCCTCCTTCGTCCTTTCGGATGACTAAGAGCTGACTGGCCGAAAAAGGATTGTGTCTCTGTTTTAGTGCGTGTGTATGTGTCGGTCTTATTATAGATTTTGGCCAAAAATCGGAGACTCAAGCGTGGTGTTCATTATTGTCCCATAGTTGATATTTATACACTAGACATGCCTCTGGCTATTTGGAGCGACTGTTTATTCAGCAGCATGCGATGCCATGCCACACAATCCTTTGGGCACTTCTGGCCAGATTTGTCCATTGCCCAGATTTGCCACAAGTACAGTATATACTCGTTAGTATATCAATCTCCCTAGCCGGAACGATTCTGTGACGTAAGAAGAAAGCAAAGCTAGCTTTTGGCCTGCTCCTGCTGTCGTCAAACTGGCTGAATGGGCCACCAGCACGCACACAGTCTCACACTCGCCCCAACACGCAGACAATTGGCCTGCTCAATGGCCTGGCCCAAACCCCCCAGTCTCCCTTCCCCCTTACCCTCTTTTGCTTACGCTAATGTAAATATTTTCCCTCAGCCTCTGCCTCTGCCACAGCCTCGTTGTCGCTGTCGACTTCGTGTGCCATAATTATATATGCAGGGCATCGAGGAATCCGAGGGGCTTTTTTGGGGTCTAAGCGCCTGTGTGTATGCTGTAAAGTCTCGCTTACTGGGATGCTGTTGCGATGATGTCATTGTTTATTGATTCTTGTGTGCGGCTGTCCATTTCCAGCACCGTTCTGTTTATTTTTGGTCACTGCATTAAGTCAAAAGGCTAATTTTCCGGCCTATAGTCTCTGACCGGTCGGAGGCCACTGCCTCATAACCACCTCATTAACGAATTCCGTGCGTGGGCATGGACATCATTTCTTCCAGTTCATTGGGCTGACATTGCTTGCAATGCAAATTGGGGGACTTTCGTCCTAATTAGCCCAAGGATGCAGGCCAAAGACAAAATAGGACGGCTGTATATTTCGGTTGGTTGCGGCTTGGAGGAACATTTCCGAAAATGTCAAAAGTGTACCCCCTCCGCTGGCATTGATGTGAAAATTCGAAAAATGGGCACAATTCAAGCATCCTCAGAACTGTGCTAGATGAGGATTCAACTTAAAAACTCTCAATCTGTCTAACAGACAAATTTGTGGTTTCTACTCCATATCCATGGATATAGAGATGGAAAAACAGTCATTTGCATGTCCTTAAACATGAATAGGAGTACTAACCGGAGAGTGGCAAGACACAATCCGACACAACAACTACGAAAAGGTCTCGAGTGAACCACAAGTTGCGGCAGACAACCTGTCGCTGTGGCAGCAATGGTGTCTCGGTGGTGAAATTTTCCATCCGCTCGGCTGCAGCGCCCACGCATGTGACAGGAAAAAGGACCAAGACATGGACGAGCAGAAGAGGGAGGAGGACCTCCTCCAATGATAGACAGTCTGATGGACGCATCTCCAATATCCATTTCCAACTAATTTGCGTAATATTTGACGGGTGAAGGAAGGGAGCAAGCAGCGAAGTGAGAATGGGAATGGGGGCAAGTCCGCACAAATCGATGATCTTTTCGCCGCCAAGTGGCCACTTGAGGACCGAGGAAGCCTCAAATTACAAATTAAATCAACCGCCAGGATACTACATATATGTATGTATGAGAATTAAAGGCGTGCGCATACACACGCACACAGCGACACAGGGACACAGAGACAGGGACACGCATACAGGATATGGGCGTGGGAGCAAGGACTTGTCAAACGGAGGCGTCCTGTCCGGCCCGGTCCGGTCGCGCTGCCCGTAGGACCCCCCGGGGTGTTGTTACTAAATTAGTTGGAAACCGGACCGGAGCCGGATCGTAAATTGTGAACAACACGTTTTAATGATGTCAAGTTGTAAACGCAGCCGCACTTTTCCCGGGAAATTCTCTGACTAAACTGTGTGTCTATTTGGGCAAACTCTTTCGGGACTCCTCGGTGGTACATCCTTCTTATCCTGGAGTGCTGCCCAGTAGCAGTGGCACACACATGCCGCTAATCATTTTCTAAAAACAATTGTAATTTTCCCAACAAGTGCCAGCAAAAGTGTGAAGTGTGGAATGTACGAAATACTGAAGCGACGGGTGGCAGGACATGCGGAGCGAGGACATCTTCATCGTTGGCGGTTGACGTTTTCACAGCTGACACTCGATGAAGTTATACGGAAATGAAAACACAAATGTGGGAAAACTGAAACTTGCCAGCGAGGGAAAATTTCAAAAAAAAAAAAATGAAGAAAAGAGGGAAAGCAGGAAAGTGGGATCGCGGGAAATTGGGAAAACCAATGCCACCAATAACGATGAGGAAAATTGTGCAAACATGCGCATTAAATGAAAATTCATTGATTGTCTTGAATTGAATTTTTCGCAACAATTGGAAAGGAAAACCTTGCCACATCCGTTTTGGGGAGGGGAAAAGACGAACAAAAGGATAAGACAAGGACCCCCAGCAAAACAAAGACAATAAACTTGTCCAATTTAAATTAATTGGCTAATCAGTTTGAATGAAATTTTCACATGATTTCCCCCAGGGACTTGCCAAATATTAATTTCAGGAAAAGCCACTGGCTATTAGAATGCAGATTTTTAATTGAATACTCGAATGCTTTCTCGAGTTTCGTCATTTGATATTTCTTTGGCAATAAATTGAAATAATTTGTTGCCACATCATAGAGTAGAATTATCTGAATTGAGTTTGGATGTTTTGCCGACCAAGGCTCACTTGATTCCCTGCCAAGTCATCCTGCTGGCTGGGGGCTGTTGGCCATGTCCAGGCTAGCAATGAAATCGCATTTAGCTCACGGCCATAACAATGTCGCCATTAAACTTGAAAGTGTTAATTAAAAATTAAAATTGATTGTCAGACAAGACCAGACCAAGTCCGCATCCCCGTTGCCGTCTCAACTTTCTCCGGCGAGCGTATTCCGTATTCATGGCAACCATCAAAACTTGTTGTAAAGTAATTTAGCCAGCCAAGTGATTAACAACGGCCCAAATGGGATGGGATGGTCTGGGGGGGTGGTGTTCCAGCCAAGGACGAAGTTCTCTCTCACCCTGCTGCGAGTGGCGGCCCCACCAACTAATTTTCTAAATGCAATGGCCAAAAATAAGAGACTGAAAAGTTAGCCAAACTACCGAAAATAGCCGGCAAAAAGCTGCAAAAACTTTGCCGTGTTGGCCCTATTGTTGACAAATGATTTAGTGACAATCTATTAAACGCTGGCTGATTGATGATTGATGAGCCGGTCGCCCACTTGCCGGCTAAAAGGATTAAATTGCCAGCCACGGGAACTGCACCACAATGTCCTAGTCCCAGTCTGAGGTCCCAAGGAGATCGGGTCGGAGCCAAAAGGAGACCGCGGGGTCATAAAATATTTAGGAAACGGGCCAAATACGGGCCAAAGCGCTAAGAATAACAACGGCCCCAGCGTCATGAAATAGGTACACAAAATTGTCCGAAAGAAAACGAACGGAAATAGAGCGATTATGGCCTGTCCTTCGGGACATGGCCGTTCCTTTGCCACAATTTTTTGGGCTTCGACCCCAATGGCCGAAAAAACCAACACCACCACCTACTATGTGGGGTCAACTGCGGGTTCCGCTCCACGTTATTCGAACAAAATTAACAGGACACGAAATGCGGTGATATTGGAGCGATATGGTCTGTCTGCCGGGCCTGGCCTGGGTCTGGGTCTGGCGGGTAAATGTTGTTTCTGTCCTTAACCCTCTGACACGCATTGCTAAATTAACGTTTGTTTATTATTCCAAAAGTAATTAGGAAGCACATACACTGTGATTCCGAGTCACAAATCGAATTGGGTAACAATTATTTATTTGAAAATGTATCTCTAAGAGGTTTATAATTCTAGTAGCATATATAGTAGTCTCTAGTCTCAAATATATATCCTAGAAAATATTATATTCTTATTATTATTCGTTAAGTGGACTTTTGATTAGATCGAATTAATGGCAGACAGTGCACTCCGATTGCAGACAAACGGCCCAAAGGTCAGGGGTTAAGACAACTGGGCTTGATTGCTTCCATCGATGGCTGTCAATAATCGATCCATGGCAACTACGAATTGATTGTCCCACCCGATAATCCACCAAATAATACATACATATGGTAGGTATATATCCGAAAGAAAAGTACTCACCGATTTGTGGCACATCGTACTGCCGTTGACCGCGGGCGGTGCGCAGCATCAGCTGGCTGGCTATGCTATGGGACACCATTGGTGGCGCCGCATAGCCGCTTCCCGGCGATCCAGCAGATACTCCGTTACTGCCCCCGGATCGCTTGTGACTGGGATCCTTCTTCTCCTGTTCCGTTTGCTGTTTTTGCGACTCCCCGGCGGCTGTACTTCCTCCCAAGTCGTTAGCTGGCTTCTCGTTATCCTTGGCGCCCGTCACAGATCCGGAGCGACTGGTGGCCTTCAAGTGCTTGCTGCCGGCCGTGGCCTCAGAGTTGGCTGCCAGCGAGAGCTTTCCGTTGCGCTGCGGCTTGAAGTGTTGGGCGAAGATCTGGCGCTGCAGCTGCTTCTCCGCTCCCGGGCTATGTCCCTGCGATCCCTGGGCTCTTTTTCTGGCCCACTTCTGCTGCGAGCGTATGTTGTAGTTTCCTGGGCCGTGAACCTTGACGGAGTGCCCTGCCTTGGCGGGTGCATCGCGCTGCTCCTGCTCCTGTTCGAAGAGCTGCTGCAGCGACTCGGGCGCCGTCAGTTCCAGTTGCTCCAAGGTGCGATAGGGATTCTCTGGTAGCGGCTCCTCCTCCAAGCCGTGGTACTGATAGGCGTCCAGCTCTCGGAGCAGATCCTCCTCGCCCAAGTGCGGCTCTTGCTCGGGCTCCAGCTCGGAGAAGTCGTCAAAGTCGCCGAAAGAGTGCATTGGCTCGTAGAGTGACTCGACCTGCTCCTCCCTTTCCGACGGCGTCACCACTCGGCCGTAGTACTTGACGGGCCTGTTCTCGAGATCCCTGAGCTGCTCATAGTCCTCCTCCACGGTAAGCGGAGTGGGCGGCTGCTTCTGGACATTGCCGAAGATGTAGCCCCGAGCCGCCTGCTGGAGCAGAGCCGGATAGTCGCCGACATCCAGCTCCTCCGTGGGCTGCATCTGTATGCGGCCGGCGATGAAGGGATGTCCCCGATGGTTGACCGGAGCGCCTCCAGACTCCGCCGTCTGCTTGGCTCGGGCCAGGAGCATGAGTCGCTCCCGCTCCAGCTGAGCCATGTCGGCGATCTCCTTGTTCAGGCGCACGGTGGTGGCGTCGAAGGCGGCCGCCGCCGCCGATCGATGGGCATGACCACTGCCACCACCCGGAGGAGATCCGCCCGGATGCTGCTGATGCTGCTGGGCCGGAGCCTTCTGCCACGAAGAGGACGACGAGGTGGAGGGTCCGATGGGCTGGCTGGGGGCGGGCAGACCTCCCTGCAGCGCGGCCTTTGCCTCTCCCAAGGCCTTGTCGCCGTTGGAGTTCCCGTTGCCGCTCAGGTGGAGGGCGTAGAGGCCGCCTTGGATCAGCAGGACGCAGAAGAGCGTCTGGGCCAGCGAGAAGAGCATTTTGCGTTTGTTGGTCTGACGCAGCTTCTCGATTAGACGGCTTATTTTGGCGGCTTATTTGATTGGTAAGAGTGGGGTGGAGAAGAGAGTGCTTGGTGGTGTGGTAGTGGGGATGGCTGTGGGGGTTGTGGGGACCTTTCGTTAGCCTCTTCTTTAGCTCGATCCCGGCTAGCGCTGGGGTGTCTCTGTTTCCTCGGCTTTAATCACAGCTCTTGTGGGTCTTCAGGCCCCACACCGCTGCTGATGACCAACACTGGGCCGGCGTAAGCCTGGCATTGCACAACACTGCTCGTGGGCTTCCCGGGACTTTTTCCAACTTATTTTCCAACCGTCTTTCAACGCCTCTTCTCTATTATATATCTTCCTCGGCTCTCCTACTCGCCTTTCGACGCTTTCTCTGCTGCCAAGTTTGTTTTGCTGGCGAGTTAAGCTTCACAGTTCTTTCTGCCTTAGACAAAATCAATAATCAATTGTCTACTTTCGAAGCGGAACTGGAGCTGGGGAGCTAGGGAGTTGGAGACGGAGACGGAGATGGAGTTCGAGTTCGAGTCGGACGTAGAGGTGGAACTGGTGTGGGAGCTGGAGTGGAAGTTGGTGGCAAAGTAGCAGCTTTTATTACACCGCAGAGTGTTTTGAACCTTGTTGGCCCGTGTCGAGTATCTGGGGAGTGAGATCCGACTCCTGCCCCGTTTCTTCACGAGCTATTCCCAGGGGGGGAGGTGTGTTCAGGCCCACTAACAACTAGTTGCTGTCTTCCGTCGGCTTTCAGATCCTAGTCCACGGTTTTGATTTAGCCTCTCTTAACTACTTTGTATATATATTTTAATTGGCTGTCTGTCACTTTTGTTTCTATTTTTTATTATAGGCTTAGATGGTTAAGTTTTCCGCGGCACTTTGGTTTTCTTTTTGAGCTACTCACTGCTTTTCTTTTCTTTTCGTTAAAATGCAAAGAAAATTTATGTTGTATAATTTGTATATTTTATAAGTAGTTGTAACAATAATTTGTATTATTATGAATATTTTTTTTTTAATATTTCTTTAAGGAACTTTTAGCACTTTTTCGTGTTTAGCGCTCTTAGCTTGCGGCACTTTGTTTTCGTTTTGGTTTTTCATATAAATGACTTTTTTTTTGTATATTAATTTCTTTTTTATTTTTAATTCACAGTGTTAGCCATCAATTGAGGGAGAAAAATGAACTGGAACTGATTTAATATACTTATGTTTTCTATTTTCAATTTAGATTGAAATAACTTTCGCACTGCACTAGGATTTTGGAATATAATTTTGTGTATTTTTTAAAACGCGATTTCAAACATACACAAGTTTCTCGAAAATATCTCGTTTCGTGTTTATTTTGGATTTTGAAAATATATTCCGCTTTTTGGGTGATGAAAACTTGTCTGTTGTTTTTGTTATTGCTGGCTGGGTGAGTGTATGTGAGAGGTGTTCTGTGGAATAGACTTCCTTTATATATTTTTGTGTGTTTTTTCTTTTTTTGTTTAATGCTGCCTCCAAAAGTGTTCCGCACGTTTGAACCGACGAGCAAGGACTCGTCGTATGGTCTCAACAGGATTCGCCTGTTTGTCTGCCTTTTGCTTGGCCGCCTGACGCAGTCGCTGCCGGCGTCGCTGCTTCTGTTGGCGTTTCGCCTCTGTTGCTGCCGCCTCTCCTCAAGGCGTTTCGTATTTCAACTTTATGATACTCGCACACACACTTAGGCACGAGCACACCGGCGGTATATTCTGTGTGTAGTGTATAGTGTGTGTATTGCCCCTTCCCGTGCCTCGAATTTCACTCCTCCGTCGGTCGGACCGACTGGGCTGCTGGGGTCCTCCGCACTCTTACTTGCTCGCTTGCTCGCACACACCCTCGCTCTCTCGCTCGCTCTCTCTCTCTCGCTCACTCACTCACTCTCTCTGTGGAGCACTTTCTCCTGCTTTCTTCTTCAGCTTCCTGTGCTCCGCAGTCAACTTCAGCGTCGAGCTCGAAACGACAGTCGCGTCTGTTCGCTCAATACTGAGCACTTGCCCGCTCAACCACTTGTTTTCAACCAGCTCCACGGATGGATGTCCAAGCCCGCAGCTCGGAGCTTCCAGTTCGGAGCCTCCGAGCCTCGGCTTTCGGATGTCGGATGTCGGACATCGGTCTTTGGTTGCCTCCATGTGTAGAGTTTTTCCCGAAGTACCAACAGCCCCAACGCGAGAGAGTCTGCTCGTGCGCAGGTTGTACCATTACCGGCATCTCCGACTCCCCAATGCCCCATATCCCTTTTTTTTGTGGCCACCTACCCCCATCACCCTCGAAACACATCTGCCATATGATTTGCGGTCCTAGTTCTGCGTGGGCTGCTAGAAATCCCATTTGATTCTGAATCTCCATTGTTTGGCGGGGCATTCCCCAGCTCAGAGCCGTATAAGGACATGGTAATCCCTATTACCTGTCTATCTGGTCAATACCGTAATTGCATTTCCTTAATTAATGCGCTTTTCCTAGGTTTAACCCATAAGTTTTGGGTGATGAGTCTGGATAAACCGCAGAGGGAAAATTTGGTGAGCATTCTAGTTGGTAATTCCCAATTCTAGTTGAGGGATAAGAAACTAATATCATTGTCTATCAATGTCCTTATTGATTAGCTTTGGGTTTTAGGCGTTTTTATACAAATAACCAATGGAAAAGCTTTGAAACTTTATCTTTTTATGAAAGATATTTTTAAGAAACTATTGACTTTAGAAGCTTTTCTATTAGAATTAAGGAAAACTTTTTTAGGACTAGGACTAGGTTTATTAGTATTGTTTTATTTGATTCTTGAGCTTTATTTATTTATTGCTTTATTTATAATTATTCCTTGACATCTACATCTGTATCTTATTCCTTCAAATCTCTCTTAAAACCAAAAGATCGCTTTCCCCACTTTCACCCAAAAATCTACCCCTGAAAAATTCGAACTCTCACTTCGAACAAGGGACTGCGGACTTCGAAAAACGATGACGCCCACACATAAGGGAGAAAACACGAAATCAAAAACCAAAACACTACGACAAAATAAGAATGTGAATAAAAATGAGAACATGAATTGCAAGTCATTAAGGCACAGACCAGAGAGCTGCTGCACTATAGGAAATTTGACCACTTTTTCTGGCCAAAAACCATTTTTTGAAAGTTAAAAGATTAAAATAATTTTAACTGCATATCATTCAAAATAGATTAATTTTTAATGTTGCATACCAGAAATTTTCAAAGATGGCGCCACTGCGAAGAAATCAGCTGTTAAAAACAGCTGTTGATGTTAACATTTACATGAGCTTAGAATTTACGATTTTTTGGTGCCATTTTAAAAACGCGAATACTGAAAATTTTATGGACAAAATCAAAAGTTTTGAAATGAATACTTTTCAAAGTGGTTTGTATTATGTGTTCGTATATGTGAAGTGTCCAAAAAACTTGTGTTGTCTTTTTAATAAAGTGAAAATGTAAGTAGTCTAGCAAAAGAAATTTTTAGAAAAAAATCACATTTTTAAAAAGAGATTTAAACCAAGTCTGGCCGAGTCGGACAATGTAATTTAGTCCATGTTGTAGATTGTTTAATTTTCTTCAAATGAGTGAAATATGAATATGCCCTTTTATGCACTTTCGAAGAAATTCATAATTTAAGGAGGCAACCTCAACACCTTGAATGTGAATCTTTTAGCTGTGAGACTAGTGCAAAACCGAACAATTAGCATGTTATTTTTAAATAGGGGGCGGTGCCACGCCCACAATTTTTACATTTCTGAGTTCTTTTGACCATATAAACTCAAATCAAAAATCAAAATTTAAATATCTTGCATAGTTTTTGAGTTAGAATGTGTTTCTTAAAAAGTGGGCGGTGCCACGCCCACATTTTTTTTAAATTTTAAATCTATTGACCATGTGAACTCAAATCAAAAATCAGAACTTAAATATTTTGTTTCGTTCTTGAGATATTATTTTTGGACAGAAAAAGTGGTCAAATTTCCTATAGTGTGCTGGCGGGCCTGGAGGAGAAAGGTGAAAGGGGAACGTGAGTTCGGCCCCAAAACCAACATGAATGGAGGAGAACTCTGTTGGCCACGTTCGGAAGAGAGTCGTCATCGATGCTTGCAGACTGTTGTTCGTTGCTTTTGTTGCACAGGACTCATGCAGAATTCAACAGCTGAGGCGGGGGGAAAGAAGGACGAGGGCGAGGGCGAGGCCGAGAACGAGGCGGGCGGCAGGTAATGAGTGGCAAGGGGGCCAGCAGGAGCCTGGAGGCAGGACGAGGCCTGTTGTCGTCACAATGTCTGTGGCTTTTACGTTTTACGAGGGAGCTATAATATACATTCGCTGTGCCAGCTCAACGATTTTCGAGCCGAGGTGAAATTGAATTGGGAGCTCCATGGAATGGAAGCCACGTGAATGGACAGTGGAGAGTTTTGAATGAGCGAGTAACTGGTCAGCTATTCTATGGCCGAAGGATTTATCAATATATGTATGAATATTTATATTATCTTTCTAAAACAAGTGAATAATTTTTTCAATTTTTAAAATACTTTTAAAATACTTTAAAAAACCTAAGAACTAAAATAAAAAATACTTCCGAACCTCAAAAGTCTCTCTGAAAAACTCTCCAAATAAAAAGCCGGCTTGAACGCACAATTTGTTGCTTGGCTCGAAAAGTCTCCCAACTCGCTGGAGAGAACACAAAAATCAGGCAACAGCAAACAGCTGAGCCTGTTCCTGTCTCGAAATGGTCCTACCACAAGCCAAAATGCACTTGCTGGGCCAGCAGACCCTGGGGCAGCATTCGAAGGGGCAGCCGGGGGGGGCAAACAACAACAGATGATTCCGATGGGCAATGGCGCAGGCGCAGAGCAGAGAGCCAACGACTACGTCAACAACAAAAATCGAAGCGAACAGTTTTCATTGAGGAGACAGTCAGGACACGGCCAGGACACCAACGAAAATGTTAGGGGAAACCGAAGAGCGAGCCCTCAAGCCACGCAATGGAAATGAAAATGGTGTAGGGCGTCTTGGGAGGGAGGGGGTTTGTGGGGAAATCACCGCCTGACTGGCGTCGTTCTCGCAACGATGCCGCCGCCCGAGGGGGAATCGAGTAAACCAAGCCCGAACCTAGCGGGAGGACTGAGGGCAGGAGCGAGGCCGAGGACGATGGGTGCGCCGCACGACGATGACGCCTACGCAGCTTTGTGACGTAAGCAGGCTCGTCCAACGACCACGAGTAGCCGACCCGAACCCACCAGATTCCCACCCAGGATGCGAGTGGGAACGAGAGCGCGCCATTGTCTCGGACGGTGGCTCCTTGGAGCCGCGATTCATTGGCGATTCCACAGTTGGGCTCGTCGCATGCCCAACCGGCATGATCCTTTTTTGGCCTTTAGATTATGCTTATATTAATTTTCCTTACACTTTTCTTTCTTAAAAAATATTATTTAGCTTTCAATTTTAAATTAAAATTAGTCTAATTAAAATTTTCAAATCTAAAATCTAAAAGCTTTTGAAACTACAACAAAATTTAACTTGGTAATATCTTAATCAAACCTATCTTAATATCTTAATAAAAATAGTCCAAACTTTTCATTAAATATTCCCCATTTCCCGCCACTTACGACTCTATTTGGTACACCCTCTCCCCCCATGAATAATGACTACATTAATTGCTGACAGGAACAAGTTCAATTACAAAACCGTTAAGTAGTGCTGCTGCAGCTTGGACAGAAATCCCCTAATCGGATGACCGACCGATGACGGAGCACTGTGGTGCTGTTTATGTTCAAGTTGGCACTCAAGGATGACAACTCCGGCTTCCGACCTCGAATCCACACCCGCCTGTGATCCCGAGATCCCCTGCCATATCCGGCCGCCTCACACTCGGACCCCCGCCGGATTCCCGACTGTGTTGTTGACATTGAA